CCAAGATGTCAAAATCCTAATAATAACCTTTATTAGATTATCAGTAGTGTTACTCTGACAGAATTTGTGAATTCAAAAGTTATTTAAGAAAATTAGCGTAGCCTCTTAGATCTGTACACTTACATTTTAATAAACATATTTCTCTGTAAAAATAAAGCTTTATGTTTATGAGTATGGGTTTTACCCACAGGCTTTCATATGTCCAATATTATAAATGCATTATACATATTTTAAATTGTCTAATTTCCATTTAGATGCATAAAGTGCATACTCCATTTGGTTGGCATTAACTGGTTCGTACATAACTATTATCTTTGCATGCACACAGGGTGAAATCTGTCTGATTGGACAACAAATGTGCTATATCATATAATTAGTATCAGAAAAAGGATTATCTGAGCATTATGATACTATTCTTTGGAGTATTGTGAGTAATATAAAATAGAAACTAGCTTTTTTAGAAAGCACAAAACCTGTGTAAGAAAAAATACGAGTAATACGAGTAAGAAAAGGAGCCTCAGATAACTATGATTGACTGTAATCAAAATTCAAACATATGTACACTGTAAGAAAAGTCCATTAAAAAAACAGCCCAATGTGCCATGTTAATATTTATTAATTTTTCACAGGTGTTTTTCCAGGATTTTCTAATTGTGCATTATATTTTAAGGTTGAAGGAAATGTCCATAAACGTAACGACAGTGATACTGGTAATTTTCTGCCAAGACAACATGCATTTTCTACGGATTTTCTTTTTCTTACAGTGTACATTAATGCCAAAAAGAGCAAGAATTAATCACAACTCTTGAGAGGAAGCTAACCTCATATTTGTCTCTGCAGTGTTAATATATTTCTTGGTGGATCATTTCTGTCTATCTCTGTGAAATGAATCCAACAACAGGTATGTTTCCACTTGACATAACTCTCTACGGATGCCCATGGTAAAGCTTATTTGACATCTATACATAAATATATATATACACACACATGCACATTCTGCTTCTCACACTGACCTTACACACACACACACCGACACACACACACACACACACACACACACACACTTTCATTTGCTTACATCACAAATAATGTAAAAGTGACAGAAGAAGAAGTACAATCAGCTTTAAAACACACACACACTCTCCTAACAGAAAACGGTGCTTCCCTGGATTGCTTATTAAATGTGACTTTGTTACACTCAAGGAAAGACTTTGACTATCCAGAAGAGCAGTAAGGAGGCCATGAGCAGTGCGGGACAGTGAGGACCCCTGGTGGCGGAGCTAGGCATGTTCACTACACCTGACAGTTTGAGGCATGAGGTGGTAGAGGCATTGCAGCACTCCAAGTGGCAGGTAGTAGTGGTGCTTGAACAAACTGTCATCTTCCTGCAATCTGTACTGCAACCCGCCTGCCAGCTCTCTGTACTGCCAGATGTTGTCTTTTGTAGCTAGGAAATGAGACAATGAGTTGCTTTCATTTAACATTCATATATAATATGGTGCAGCATAGCATGAGATCAGTATTAAACAAAATGTCATTCAATTTGCAATAGTGAAAATGGTTTAAAGTCAACATAAAATGAGCATTTACACTATTTGCTTTTGCCGTTTCTTAGGAATGATTTATTAATGAATTATTTGTGAAATTTGCTAAAATTGTTTCTACACTACTTTTTATTTGATTTGATTTATTTCAGTGTATATCCATAAGACCCAGTGACATTCACCAGACAAAAACATTGCAGAATATTGTGGCAATATTATCCCGGACGAGCCCCCACTTATTATAACAACCTCATATAGGGGAACAGGCTCATATAGGGGAAGATGAGGTGGGTTATTTAAATTAATTCAGATTCATGTTGTGGTGATTATTGTGGGGTATAGAATTATATGTTTGAGGGATAACGATTTGGGAAAAGGCTTGAGGGGAGAACCAAGAGCTTATAACTAAAGGTAACAAGGAAAAAAAAAAACACAAAGAAACCTACAATCATTTCTACATTCAGTAAAGATAGCCAGAATCTGTTTGCCAAATCAACATTAAAGCGAAAATACTATTTATACAAAATTGTTGTTTTGTTCTGTTAGTGTTATTTTCTTTAAGACAAACTGAGTAAAACAGGTTTAAACTGGAAACCATGATTTTCAATTAGACCAATAAAAATGTACTTTAAACAGATGACACAGACATTTTACATGGTTTTTCATTGTATTCTCATAGAATTAGAATGATTATCAAAACTTTTTAGTTCTAGTTACTGATCTATGATGTGAACGGCCATTGTGGGGAAAACATTTAACAATCTAATCAAATAAAAAAGATGATTAGGACAATTAAACCTAACCAAGAAATGTAGTTACATTAAATAAAAAAATTAATTTAATTTTTTTTTTGTTTTTTTTTTACTTTACCTTGCAGTAGTCCTGACCAACTGGACACAGCATGACATTACTGCCGACAGTACTGGTTTTGTAACACTCCGCCCCATTACAGTTGAAAGTATAACACTTCTTGCCCTTTTGGGAGTAAAAAAAACTAAGAAAAGTCAGAAGGTGGCACAAAATGTTCATTTGTGCCCTACAGTGACAAATTGCTGTGTGTTCTTACATTATTTGCTGGGGTGGTTGTAACTATGGCCTTGATTGTTGTGGTTGTAGTAGTGGATTTTGTTGTAGATACTAATGACAAGACATCAGTAAAAAAACAGTCAATTTTCAAAAGTTACCATTCACATATGTTAGAGATAATTAGAGAAAGAGTTTGAGGTTACCTGTCGTACTGAGTGAATTGGACATGGCAAGCAGAGTGTTGTTGAGGCAGTTGGTTGTGTTGCAACAGTTCACAGAGCAATTACTGACAGTCCCGTTCCCGCAGGATACGCCACATGAGGCACTGCAGCTGACAGAGTAACCTGTGTCCTGTTGCGTTATCTGAAGCACAACAGAACAAGAAGTAACTCTTTAAATCAAGCCTGCATCAGTGCATGATTTGCATGGATTACTTTCCACTTGAGGTTCCCATCTGAAAGTGCATCACGGCAGACTGACCTTACAGAAATATTCACTGGATTGGCAAGGCTTCGCCGCCGTATTCATAAACTGGACGTAACAATCTTTCATGCAATCAAATGCTGGACAGGATAGCTTTTAGGAAAAAAAGCAGTTGCAATTCAAGAACTATTACACAAATATTACACTGTAAAAATAATTTTTCGAAAATTATTGGAGTAGGTTTTACAAGTCTTTCAAAATGTATCATATTTCCAATGTGTTATTTGCTATTTCTTTGCAATTAATTGTGAAATTTACTAGCAATTTACTAGAAGTAACTCTTACACCAAGTTTTTAGTGTACGTGCCCAGCACTTACCGCAGTGTAATTTTCTGAAGATGATGTATTTGCTGAAACTGTAGAAAAATAAAGGACAATAATAAAAAAAGACAAAATAAATAAATAAAATTTAGTTGTTGTCAAATGAAAATAACATTTATAGGCATTTTAGTGCTAAAAGTTTTGTGTTTATGTTTTTTTTAAGCCACCCTTGCTAAATCTAGCACAGATTTTTTACATCTTCATAGACTGTATAAAAAAATGGACGTAGTGTCCGTGACATCACTCGTAGGTTTCTGAAGAGCGTTTTTGAAGCTCAAAGTGGGCGGAGCAGGCCGTCGCCATCTTGGCAGCGTGTCACCGCGCGTCACTCCCGGATAATCAAAAATGGGCAAAGAGGCGGGAGCTGGTTGCTGAAACCATGCCCACCTAGCTCGACAGTGGTGACAGCAGCGGCAATCCACCTGTCACTCAAGTGGCCACGCCCTTAATTATGCAGAACTTTAAAGCTTAATATAATTTAAACGGATGAGTTATAAAAAAATTAGCTATATACCACTTTTTGTACCAGGCTGTAAACATTTTTTTTTTTCCTGCTGTAAAGTTGGCCATTTTAACATGGGGAGTCTATAGGACTGACTCCTTTTGTAACCAGCCTCTAGCGGCCAGTCGATGAATTGCAGTTTTAGTCACTTCCGTGTTGGTTTCACGAGAGAGACCGGAATGTTGCCGCTTGGTTATATCTTCATAAAAATATTTATGAGTTACATAATCATATACATATATACATATTGTTCTATTGTTATATAGTTTAGTAGTATATGTGACCCTGGACCACAATAGCAGTCTTAAGTCGCTGGGGTATATTTGTAGCAATAGTCAAAAATACATTGTATGGGTCAAAATTATTGATTTTTCTTTTATGCCAAAAATCATTAGGATATTAAGTAAAGATCATGTTCCATGAAGATATTTTGTAAATTGCCTACTGTAAATATATTAAAACTTAATTTTTGATTAGTAATATGCATTACTAAGAACTTCATTTGGACAACTTTAAAGGCGATTTTCTTAATATTTTGATTTTTTTGCACCCTCAGATTCCAGATTTTCAAATAGTTGTATCTCGGCCAAATCTTGTCCTATCCTAACAAACCATACATCAATGGAAAGTGTATTTATTTAGCTTTCAGGTGATGTATAAATCTCAATTTCGGAAAAATTGACCCTTATGGCTGGTTTTGTGGTCCAGGGTCACATATATAGTTTTATTGTATTATTGTTATTCTATGGTATAAAGTATATAAGAAAGAATACCTGTGTCCATAGTAATGCCTGTTGAGGCAACAGTAGCACTGTTAGAAGTAGTGCTCTGTATGGTAGTGGCTGAAGCTCCTGTCACGGAAGTGACTGATTTGGCCGTAGATGACGTTTGGTCAGAAGAAGTGGAGGAGGACACTCTTACTGGATTCGTAGATTGAGTGGTCGAACTCTGGCTTTCAGTTTCTGACATTGTAGATGATATCTCATCTGTTGTCAGAGTGGCTGCTGTACTATCCATCCACACTTTAGAGAGCAGACTCATTTGCAATAATAGAAAAAAAAGAAAGCCTGTTGGAAACACAGATAAAGGACAGCTAATGTCTGTGACATCTAGGGCATTTACTGTATTTGCATGTGGTTAAATGTTACTTGGCCAGTTGAGAAATGAATGGAAAATCATCCACACTAGAAGCATGAGCAAAACGAATTTCAAATTACATTTTTAAATCCATTTCTTTACATGCAGGTTTTATGTATGATTTACACAGAAGTTCCCTCTGCTCCACACTGTTAAATGTGGTAAGCTGCATTTGCTACCTTGAAGAGCTCTTTCTACCTGATTTAACCCATAAATATTCGTTTTCTTGGTTTGGACTTGAATAAAACCAGTTTATTTAGATGTTACCCTCTGTTACCCCCATTCAGTGCAGCTTCATAAAGAATGCGATTGGTATTGATTTGTGCTTTCATGTTAAATAAATACATTTATTAACAACAAATAAAATCATACCAAATATTAATTTACATACAATTACTTGACAAAGGTACAATAACCAACCTGTTTTTGAAGACCTCCGAGTCTTGCTTATATCGATAGTGCAACATATTTCTCCCAGCGCCATCTGAAAGCATGAAATAATGATGAAAAACAGCAAGAATGTGTTTATGGATGTTGGTGAGTTTGGTTGCTGATTCATTCCACATTTTTAAAGGGTCCAACAACCAACAAAAAGCAAGGCATGTATCAGTATCAGAAAAATCCCTTTGCCTGTGAATTATTCTCTGATGGTGGATTGCATCCATGACGTTGGAGACAAATTTTCACTGAGAGCTATGCAAACCTGAGCTGTCATAATTGGCATTGCGGAACATGCCTAACCTCCCGTGACCTCTGAGCATGATATTCTGCTTTGATCTGCAATGGAGCATGTCATCAGTGACAGTTTCTTCTAATAGATGCCAATTGTTTCACTGAAACAGAGCCACATTGATTCGGGTTCCACCTGTGCATGTATTTGAATTTGAAACAGGCAGCGTCTCAGTGTGGCTATTGATGTTACATCAGTGTTACATCACAGAAATCGCAATCTTTGGTTGAATTTTTCTGGAAGACATACCGGTTCATAGTTAGTAAAGTTCCCTTGCTACGAGGCCACTTGCTCACACACAATTAACAACTTGTTTGTTCTCTGTGAATCCCACGGGCGTAAGTGCAAAGCACGGCTTGTTACCCCTTTCCCCATGAGGCGGTGATCAACCCCGTCAGGAAGCTACCCTGGAAACCATGTCTTGTATGAAAACATTGGTTCACCCAAATTATGACTCCTTCTTTTTCCATTTCACAGTAATACAATCATGTTTTGGATGACTTTGACCATCTATTTGCATTTCTCCTCTTCTATAGCTTGCTTATTAATCTAGTTGTCTAATAAACCATTGTTGGAACTGTGTATTACAAATATTATTGGCTCTAGAATTGCTTTTGTAAGTTGCTTTGGATAAAAGCATGTGCTAAATGCATAAATGTAAATTTTTTTTAGATGCACTGAAAAAAAGGGTGAAGGATTTACAATTTTCACTGAGAAAATGCTAGTAAATTTCACAAATATTGCAAATAAACTGCAAGTAACTAAATGTGAACATTTTCTCAAAATAAACATCAGATATATAATATACTGTTGATGAAATCCAGTATTTACCAATTGTTTGATATTGTTACTTCTTCAGAAAACATCTCCTGAGCATCTCACTTTTTATTTAACATAACATTTATTTAATATTTTTTATAACTGACTTATAAGAAAAATCGCATAGATCTCATTCCCATTCTCATTCACAAAGCAAGAAATCTCAAAAGGCATTTATAGCAGTATTTTTCAACTAAATACATGCATGTAATATTTAGCATCTGTCATATGCAGCATCTTGGGTCTTTACTAGACTCTCGGTGTCACCTGTTTGAAAACATGAAAACCCTCTCTACGCAACAGCATCTCTTGCGAAAATCCGTACAGCTACACCTATAGCCCACAGCTGGACCGAAAAGCCTATTTACGCATTTGCAAAATCTTAATATGGCATATTGGGAAATGTAGCTTACCTTCGCCATACAGTGGGAAAGCACGGATTGGACTGGACTTGTAACAGCTGTGGATGAAGTTAAGAGTGTTTAAATGAGTCTCTGCCCCTTCCTCTCTCTTTCTTTCTCCCTCTCTGTTGCTATTTGCTCCTCCAGCCTGATGACATCAGAGGGAAGGTTTCCTAATTAGTGGAAACTCTGAGGGATGGGTCTGTGATTGTGTGCTTAAACTGGGATGATGGGCTTTATTGTAATGATGCGTTCAACTCTCTATTCATATTATGAGTTATGTTTACGAGAAGTTAAACTGCTAGACAAGAATGAAAAATGAAAAGTGCAAAAGAAAAAATTTAAAAGCACACACTCAGATTGATTTATTTGTCTTGTAATAATAATAATAATAATAATAATAATAATACAATTTATTTAAATAATAATTAATATAATATAAAATAATACTATCATGTATAATATTATATATTAATAAAAAAAATTTGAATTAAAAATGACTTACATGGGAACTCCTTTGATATTTAAAAAGCATCACATGGGAAGCAGGAAGTTGGTTGAGAAAACTCCTATTGCTATAACAGTGCAAGCAGAATACAAAAACAATTCAAATGAAATTGATTTAAATTAAATAGTCAATCACAAAAATGAAAATTAGCCGATACAGCTATAGATCCCTGGGCTCATAGTCTTGAGAAACATGAACATTTTCAGTTCATGAAAACCATCAGAACGGAACACACACACACACACACACACACACACACACAAACAAACAAAGAAAAAAGATAAATAAATAAATCTCCTTACAGTCCTGTCTGTGCCTCCACACTTCTTTGACTACAGACACCACAATAAAATATCTTGAACTCAAGTATGGAAACAAAATTAGAACCATGGAAAGTATGAAATAAATATATATTTTGAGGTATAAAAAGTATCTGAAAGACATGTAAGGGGCCGTTTACACGGCGTTATTTTCAACTACAATCAGAAAAATGTGTTTTGGCCATTCATTTACATGACGATGGCGTTTTGGGGACCTGAAAAAAAAAAAAACCTGCAAACTTTTGAAAACGGGTTTCAAAGTGCAATTTTTTGAAAACAATATTGTTATTTTTAAATTTGTGAAAACAGTGACGTCATGTGCATGTGTATTATGTATCAAATCTAGAGGAAAGTGACATTGCCAACTATTGTCGCTTTCACGTATCCATGTGAACTGGGATCATTTTGACAATGGTGTTGTCTCTGTACGTGAAACTTTTCAACAATACAAAGGAAAAACTTTTCAGTTTTTAGTACAATCATTGTTGTGTAAACATACCCTTAATATCCAAACTTTTCACAATACTACAAAAATTTCATAGCAGCTACTTCCAGCTCAATGCTACTCACAAATGACCATTCACAGATCATTTGAATCAAAGAAACTCTGCTCTTGTGAAATTCAGGTCCATCTCATCTGTTCTGTACAATTACATTTTACAGCTCTTTGTTCAGCATGAAACTCTGCATGCTTGAAAAGGTCTGGAGATCCGAGTTTTTGTAAGTTGAGAGAAGTAGAAACTGTGGCATGTTACACTGCTGTAAGACAGACTTTGAAAGTGATTTCAGCCGGTGAAATCAAGATCCCCACAACAATTACCCCTTTGTAGTGGTGTGTATCACAAAAATTCAGAGCACTAGCTCTGAGACACTGAAGGATTGGGGGTGCTCAGATAACTAACATGGATTTCTGGGACTTCCTAATACTATAATATCTTTCTTAGTTTATACACTCTTCTACACTTCATTTTTTTAACTCATGCTGCACTGTACTGTGTTTTCATAGGAAATAAAAAGGGTTAACTTTGCCAGTACTTATAATGCTGAAACTGAAATTCAGGTCTGGTCCAGGATCAGTTATCAAATGTTTCTCTGAAAGCACAACTGATGGCGAACAGAAAGGGAGTCTAGTTTTAGCACTAGATGTCCTGTATGATTCAAGGTCTATAAAAACAAGATATTCAAGTTTCTAAAACAAATTTTACTGGTTGGCATAGTCTATATGCAAAGTTGGTGTTTGACTTCAAAGTTACAAAATCAAAACAAATAGAAACTGAAACTTTATACAATACAATACAATAAAAATGTATTTATATAGCACATTTAAAAACAACTGGTGTGGACCAAAGTGCTTTACAAATGCTAAAAGAAAACAGACAGTAAAACACACACACACACACACACACACACATGTTAGAGGAACAATAAAAGTATGATAAAAATGAAAAACCTCTGGAATAATGTAAAAAAGAGGAGAAGTGCTTGAATCAAAGGATATTAAATGCAGATGAGAATCAAGGGATGTTGAAAGCCATTGAGAAAAAGTAAGTTTTCAAGGTGGATTTAAAAATTGACAGGGTTTGGGCGGATCTGATGTAAGCCGGAAGGCTATTCCATAACTTAGGACCACCCCTGTTTTTAAGTCTAGTTCTAGGAACATATAGATCAGAATCCCCAGATCTAAGTGATCTTAACCGAGTGAACTTGAAACTTTCAAGACAAATCTGAATGTTAGCTGCACAAAATTCAAAACAGTTTGAAGATTAGATTGAAATGGATTCTGTTCCCATTTCTATTACATTCTGAAAAAAAAAACTGTTTTTGTTGATTGACCCATTGATTCTAATCCCTGCTCTTGGCCAAACATTAGAAAACATGCAGACTTGTCAGTCCCTTGATAAGGACTGGCATGGTATCAAAAGATACCATCTCGGGTTACTTATGTAACCATGGTTCCCTGAGTAGGGAACGAGACACTGCGTCCTCTAGGTTTCCTGCCATGCTTCGGACGCATGCTTCAGACGAAGAAGTGAATGACGTGTTCTCACGGCGCCTATTTATACTATAGTCGCACCGGTAGTGACGTCATGGTCTGTCGCCGGCCAACATGTTGTTGGTGTATTTT